TTATTGACTAGCTATAGAGGCTACATGGGCGACACCTGGCTTCAGTCGCGTGAACCTTGGTTTGGTTCTAGCCACTGTAAGATGGATAGCACGGATAAGGAAAACGTCCTGAAAAACCTAATGAATTAGTGATCAAAGAGGACCTTTGGTGAGTGCCCAAAAGTTGTTCGACTTTGAAGGTTGAACGTCCAAGAACATCGTTGAACACATTTTGAATGTCCTTTTCAAACTTCATGTGTTACATGGGTAGCATACATGCAGATTAATAGTTGGGAGCCCAAGGAGATGGGGAGAACCAATAACGGAACGAATACAACACACATAAATATGAATCACATTTCATCGTGGGCTTCCATGACCCCACTAAAGGTTCGTAACAAGTACAACTGCTTCCCCTTAAATGCTTCGTATATATCCTCTTGCACCCATAGAAATACTTCATATTGTGAAGCATCAGGAAGTGGTAAGTTGGCATTCCCTTCCCCCCCCCCCCCCGGCCTCTGCCTCCATTGGGACCAGATGGATTAAACATTACATTTGAATGAAGAAAAAGGTAGCTATGACTGAAAAATGTGAGTTTCCTCGCCAAATGGCCGAGACTAGAACAAGTGCCAATGTAGACCGGTGTTTCAACGTCATTACAGATAGTTGAATTCATTATCCATCGTAATGTTGATACAATTCCTAAGAACTTCTCATTTTAAAACATTCCTTCGCTCACATTCTCTTATCGGAATCAACATAAAAAGCCCTTCCGCCTGCTCCTGCTCTCGCTCTGGCACCTGTTCCCACTCCTGCTCCGTGTACTGCTCCTTATCCTGCTCCTGCCCCTATTACGGAATATAGCTTTAGCTTCTGCTCCTCCAGTTGCTATTCTTAGGAAGTGTTTTTTTGCACTAGCTGCTGCGCCTTAATTAGACAAGGGTACTCGATTTCCACAAGGTGAACTTTCGTACTAAGCACAGAACTTGAGGATCTGCTGAATATATCATTTCCGAAATGGTATGGGGGAGAAAAACCCCGTTAAGGTTAGATGGTTCAGAAGAAGTTTGGTGGATTAAAATCAGTTTCGTGGATTTCGTGGATTTCCCCACCTCATGCAAGTGCATGAGTTGGGGAAAATGAGTGAAAAATGATGGAAATAAGGGATAGAAGGATATCGCAGTATTCACTGTTCTCATTCCAGTTGATGATGTAACGTTTCTTTCCACGTACGTATAATTATTGCATCTGAAGGGTACAGATTCTGTTTCATACTGAAATTTCCATCCGCGGGGGGGGGGGGACAAAAGAGGAAATTAGTGGTATGGAGGAAGAGGACTTCTCTTTTCAAACATTTTGGCGTTCAAATCCTTTAAAATCCTCTATAAAACGTGAATTAATACGTATGCATCTGTAATAACCCCAGCATATTGGACTACACGTCCAAATAATTTAAGCTCAGATTTTGTAACCTTGTTTCCCAAGTACTTCTGCAATCAGTTTGGGTAGTAAGAATATGAGCCGAAGTCAGGAAAGTATAATTTTTTCTCCTTGGCGATTTTTGCCGATACGATTTTTTACTATATCACATACCCAGAGTATATTTGAGTCCGTTTTATAAGTTTACCTGCCAAACTTTGATCTTGAATGAATCTTTGAACGCTTCGCATACTGTATGAATTTGAAACGAATCGGAGAAAATGCCTAGGATAGATCCAAATTGCGCACCTCTAAGGAAAAGAAACAGCAAATTTTGAAATTGTAAATGGAGCATCTACATCAGTGTTGCCGCAACATGTCTCCATATTTTCACTGCTCTTGCATTATTTGTTGCTTGGGTGGGAAATAAAGTGCCACTGGACCTTCAACTCCACTCGTATATTTGATTTTCTACGTAATTTTCATGATTCCTTCCTCATGCAATGGAACTCTGACAAGCTCAGGAACGCTTTTCGTCACGACTGGCTCTCGTTGTTGCCTTGCAAGGGAAAAAAAATCCATCCACGGCACCTGCCGGTATTGGAGATATGAGGGGGGATGAACCACATCCCAGACCTCGTACTCGCCTAATTCTGAAGGACACGGCAAAGGATGCTGGCCGTGCCCAAGTTTGCTGTACGCTGGAGGATATCCAGTGATATTTCACACTTCAGCTTCCTGACATGTCCCTTGAGGTCTTTCAGGACGACACCAGTTGTGCCGATGATGATCTGATATGGTGGTCTTCATTCCGCACAAGAGTTCCGTAGGTGACCAATCGATAACTCCGAAGCTGTAGTTAAGGACAGGGGTGGCAAGGCTGTTAAGGGCAGAGATCTTATTTTTGCCGGACAGCTCAGTCTTTAGTACGAGGTGGACCCTGCGTTTGTATTCTGTCGTCAGTCTCTGCTTCGAGCGCTATATATATATTGTTCAATAGTGAACTCAATTCCTGCCTCTGGACGACACAGTCTTCCTTGCAAATGAATCTCCAAAAAAATATGTATTAGCAGACACCAAAGTTCATTACTTCAGCGATTTAACGGAATATTTATTACTAGAATTTGCCAAGTGCGTAATGTTGACGTTATTTTAATATCTATACTCGGGCACAATGACCTCATTAAAGTCCCATTTTCAAACTCTTCATGAGACTGCATGAAGTTGCCGCGAGAAAATATGCCATTAAGTAAATGTAGCCCATATCTATTCATGTTCCCGTTTCTTTGGAGGAAGTTTGTGTATAGAAATAGCACTGGCCTATGCGTTCGTAACCGCATAGCCACTCTAAATCGCAGTGTCTGGGAAAGTCTTCCTATCCGTTTCCCTGCTAGAAGAAAAGAAGAAGTACATATGAAACAATCGCATCCCCAATGTGTACCGGTACGCCTCAATCCTTGTCCTTCCACCGAGACTATGATCTCGGAAATGCATGGAACAATAGGCCTCGCGCCTAAAGCCAAAGAGGGATTTGTCGATTAAATTTAGCTTCCATGAATGTTTTTTTTCAATGTGCCACTAATGGGTCCGTTGATGGGGCATGAAAAGTGACATGAATGCTGGGATGCATTTTCTAGCTTCTAAGGAGTTGATCTCCCTGGAGATCCTTCGTAGAAGGATCAGTAGGACTCCATCCTCTAAGCTACTGAAAGATCTACTGATCTAATATCAATACGTGTTCAAGGATTATGAGAGAGCCTTAGGCGAAAATTTATCATCTATTGGATGTCTAAGCAGGATATCCAGTGGATGTCCAAGCGCCTTTGAATCGATGTCAAAAGGATATATTTATTTTTAAATGTCTTCTTAGCTACCTCGGCCGATGTAAACCAAGGGAAATTCTTAGCGAGCTTTGGGAATGAACTCATTAAATCGATATGGGACAACTAGCCAAAATAGTGAAATTAACACGTTGAGGACGGGAAACAAAATGTTGTTTTAATGTAGGGTGTAGCTTCACCCTACTAGGCATCTTTCTGTGTACTATTTGGTACTGAGACGTGCTTTTGTGGATTGTAGGCATTCTGATGTTTCTTGTAGTACTATATTCTTGCCGTCAGCTATGTTCTGATTGCATTGTATTTATTTTTGAATATCTACGTTATGTGTAGGGTGCCGGTCCCCAATGTGTTAAGTTGAAGAGAATATCTATGAGTTCTTCATGACCAGGATGGACAATGCTCTAGGGTTTCCACTCCACTACCAGCAGGAGCTCTTGCACACTCCTAACGTTTAACGGCATTGCAATAATTGCTGATAATGTTGCTTCAGCTAAAGAATTCAGACGAAATTTTGAGATTCAGGTTGAAACATACTTCAACATTCATGAAGATTGCTTAGCAGAAACGGCTCCTCTGTGAGCGGATATTTTAAAGTCAAAAGTTGTCGATCATCTTTGCCATAACCTGTGCCTCCCATGTCTTGCTAAGTGAGGATTTCCCTGCAATCTCGTCAAACCCTGCCTCGTTTGGAATGGCTGTATTAAATTATGCCTAAGAGAGCATTGGGGTGAGATCAAGCGCATAACGAATCCGTGTATCTAACTTCCATGATTCATTTTTGTTCTAAAATTTCATTTGAGTATCTGATTGGAGCTGCTTTTGGCAAAAAAAACTTGCGGAAAGTTAGACACATAACGCTACAAAGAGCTATCAGCGAAATTCTCAGCCCATAAGAAAACGTTATTTATTGCCGACATACATCGGCGTGCATGGAAGATTTGGCTTGCCTTTGCACAGCCAGAGTCGTCAATGTATCGAGTTGCACTTTAATGTTGTGTCATGCTTAGGTGAAAAGGTTCTCCTTTATGCCACAAAATAACCATGTCTCGTATAATGTACCACACTGATGAATTATAGAACCATCATGCAAATTTGAATCGGACTAGATCATCCAAAATACCACTGGCAACTCCCCATCCCACAAATCACCTGATGGTGCGCAATTTAATCGTCAGATGATAGATCTCTGTCACTGTAAGTGCGCCCAGGCCCACATTCATCTGCGACCACGGTGTGTTCTATTGTTTCCATATTGATACCGGGGAAGGAGAGGAGCGATGAAGTCCATAGATCGATGTATTCATGTCCAAATATGTTGGTGTCTTCGTTCTTCAGGTACTCCTCAAATATTTTGTCACCAACTGGACTTCTGAATCCGTTTATGGGAAAATAAACACGTCTAAATATATCACACGTCTTTGAAACGGAGTCAGATATGCAATGAAATCGCATGGAACTCACTCAGTCTCTAGTTCAAAATTGTCATTTCCACTAGAGTTGTGCTCTCCCTGTTCAGGGTTCTTTAAAGGATCCTCTTGAACATTGCTAGTGCATTTTTCCATCTCTTCCTCCAACGTAACATCCAAATCGACAGGTGATAATATTTTCATAGACTTCGAGACGTCCAAATCCTCTGTATTTACAAAGAAGTGAAACTTCTGGAGCGTCGCATTTTAGTGAACATCGGCATTATCAATACATGACCTCCATGATGTGCAACTTTTTCAGGTCCATAATAGAGTGTTCTTACTCAAATGCTCCACATTGGATAGAATCCATTGATTTGGCTTTCCGAAGCTATCCAAGAGTTCCTTCAGACTGACGATTGACGTAGATAAAGGAACCTCTGAGCTGCTGCCAATGACGCAATACCTGTGGGCTTGCACGAAAAGGGGTCCTATAACAAGTGAAGTACCTTGCGTTCAAGTAGTATTACATACCTGTTGAAACATTCTTGCCTGTATGGGGATGAAGCATTTAACATACAGTAGTTCGCACAAAGAGCGAGGTGCCCACCTTTACTCCTGGCCTTGCTTAGCACTGCTGACTGTGTTTTCAGATTGTGTTCCTGAAGCGCCAGCTCAGTCTTAGCTGCCTCGCAAAGACTGTCCGTCACAAAGGCTATGGGTATTCCCTTCTCTCCCCCGTTGCGGCCTTGATGGTTAAGAATCCCCAGCAGACATCGATTGACATGAATGACCTTGAACGAACAATAACTGAAATTTGTGAAAATTTACGTTAAATGTAAATAGTTGAATTGGACCGATTTTCTCACCTGGATGGAGAGTATCGCCGCACAGAAAGGGCGGTGAATGGAGCCCTCTTTCACCTCCATCGGGGTTTCTGGAATGCTTTTCAGCTCCATCTTTTCTGATGTTTGGATTAATTTGGTTCCGTGACATTCTAAGCAAACCTGCACGTAATTATTCCATTCCTTGCTGCTTTCTGCTTGCTTCATCTTCAGAAATGGCCTGAGAGCATCGTTAGATACACACTCCGAGTATGCACGAACAATGACATCCTCATCCTCATTGGCAATACTGCAAGCACATCAGCAAATGCGGACGTAACAAGACGAACCAAATGATGCATTAGATGCATATGAATAAATAAATTTTGAGTGGGGAGTGCTAGACACACATTGAAGTCAGTGTCATAAAATGAAAAACTTAGTGTTAATAAGCATAATTCCAGGAGCTTTATTCACAAGAGACGCTTAATTTTTGGTCTCGACAGGAAAGAGTATTATAACAAAGTATGCTGTGAATTGGAGTTGACACTTAGTATTTCGTATACGTTTTTTTGTTATCGCAACTGCTGTGATTGCTAAGTTTCAATTAAATTTGCAAGCGATTGAAGGGGTAAAAGGGAGTATTATAATCCTTAGGAGGATTCGCATATGACGCTTTGGATGTGGGTCAGTCCTTTTCCCAAGGAAGTAATGAAGTAGGAATAGCCCACATGCATTTGCTATTATGTCTGGTGTGTCGTGATTGAAGTCTTTCTTTTTTTTCTCGGAAAACTCTCAGAAAGTAATGCTTTTCTTTGTCCTGTTCAATATTGAAGGTGTAAGGCGTGGAAGAGGGCGGGTAGTAGAACTTAGAAAGCTTTTGACATGTGTACAAAGTCTCATCCGACGTTCTTAATTTCTGGGTCTCACCTCGCAAACGAAGTTCTCAGCGTCTTCATTCTTACCGCAAGCTCAAGCTTCTGTCGTAATTCGGCAAAGCCACAAACTCCATCCTTCACGAACTGTAGGTTGTCCTATAATTGAATTATTCGCATTGCGGCATTATCTTCCTAATTATTGCTTAACGTGACCCGAAGAACCCTCGAATCACACCAACCAGGAAGTCAGTGGTGGTGAGATTATGATTTCCCAGAAGTCCTCGCAGATGATGCAGCTTCTTCTCAACACTTCCTCGATCATCATTCTCCATGGTTCGAGCCACGTCCAGAAATGCCTTAACAACCTCAGATCCCATTCGCACCAGATGTTTTAAAACTCGATGTTTCTTTTCGTCCTAGGGGAGAATTCCATTTCACGTAAATGGCATCAATTTAATTCGCAATTTTAATTAGGCTCTTGTACAGGTGGTACATTGATTGTACCATTATGCTTCAATACGTAGTAAATTAAAATATGGTGGTAGAATTTCTTTATTTACCACAGACCATGAAAGAGTTAACCAACTGTCTAATGTATATAGGCGGTCGTGAATAAGTGGCTAATCCTAACCATGTTCCCGAAATGATAGAAACATGAAACTTGATACATGCTGCTATTGGTATGCTGAGCTGAGGAAACCTCTATATAAAAAGGTTATTGCCCTAGGTGAACATTTTTCTGGGGGGATGTTGTCAATTTTTTAAATCCTCAGTGGAGCGGAAAGGCATAGAAAGCGGGAATTGGGGGTGGGAGGGCCTGTTGAGATTCTGACACCAGAAAATGCATTACATGCTCTGGGGTATACTGTTTTGAGAGGGAAGTTCTCGAATTTTTATTATTAGAGTGAATGAAGAATATATGCAAAGGTGGAATTTGTTACACCAGTATTCTTTGGGATTGTGAGTTTAGATCCGACTTTTGTGCTGTATACCTGGGGAGCACGTTATTATCATAGGACTTTCTCAACTAAATGGTTTTGCATCAGGAAAACGGAGAAACATCAAACTGAAATTTTGTTTTCACGTACCTGTTAAGATTTTAATTTCAGGAATAATCCAGCTTTTTTTTACAAATCCCCGAGGGCATGTTTTTGGGAGAGAAATTTTCCATTCCATTTTTACTCCTGCGCAGCAGGCAGAGGAAAATCCTAATTTCGAAGTATATCCACTTAGGGCACACGTTATGGGTAGGACAGCATTTACCATAACGTTTTTCTTGATGTAAAACGGGCAAACATGGAAAGCTGGAACTTGGAAATCACGTATTTCTTGGTAAATCGAAGAAAAATCCAACGACAAAAATGTCTGACTTTTAAAATCTGACTTTCTTTCAGGCTCAAAAAATATTCCGAGCTAAGAATCAGGTAATTCTACCTATGAAATGCCCTTCCCAGCTGCCTAGTTCCATAATCTGTCTGACGCAATTGAATCAACCGCTTCTGAAGCAGTCTCCTCTGTCCCTGCACCTAAGACTGTGAGATGGAACATGTTCCATCTCAGTAGGGAATAAAAATCTGAATATGGACTCCTAAGTATTCACCATCCACAGAAAGAATTCATCAGTAGAGAGAGAGTTCGACGGCTTGATGTAGTTCCATTCAAAGTCCATGCCAGAGTGACCAATATTCATATTTTAAAGACTGGTGTGTGTTGCCATGCTACTGACAACCAAAGTTCACTTGAAACTGATGTCAACGTAGAAAACAATTGTGTCTGCCACCATTATCAACCAAATGCATATTTCATTCGTGGCATTACACTCAACCTTGGCGAACTCCTATGAATCTTATGAATGATATGACCTGAATTCCGGACCTTCCACCATGAATCCTCGACATCGGGCGTCCTCTTTTTTATTCTCTGATGTGACCCAACTTTTAATAACTTCCTATTTCTATCAAAGAGTAATGATACACATGAGGAAATATTCATCATCGTTCGAGTAAACATGAACTGTTTCCCTGAATCAAGTCAAATTTTAGGTTGTCGTTCCGATGTTTTGAAGGGAATTTCTTTTGTCGGTGAGATATTATGTTGAAGTTCTAAAAAATATTCATTCAATGCATATATTTTTGCTGATATGAATATAGCGATAAAACTCATCATAGAACACGAATAATCACTACGTTTAAGATTGTAGTAATGACCCTGTGTATCTCCAATTCTGTTGCTTTGAAAACTTATATGCAAATGAGAGTTTGACTACCTCAGGCAGGTATTAAATGCAACATAACAAAACAAAATGACGCACTGAATTTGTACCTAGTGATCTTCATGCTGAAAGTCCCATGACGTCACCATGAAGATTTTTTGAAGCCACTTTATTTTAAGTTGAGAGCGCCGAAGGCGCGAGAATTTGAAAACCCATTAATCAAGGGGTTTGACAGCATAATTATGGATGCGCTTCGAAAACGAATGTTTTAAATGCGTCAGGAATTTTCTTTGATCATATTGCGTCGGAGGCGCGTCCATAGCCAGTTTATTTGCCCAGAGAGCAAACAAACTGGCTAGTATTATCTAAAACCACCTGCATGTCTGTAGTTCTACCAAAGTCTCGGAAGTTCTATGAAACGACCTGCATGTCTATAGTTCTACTACAGTCTCGGAAGTTCTATCAAACGATAAAAAGAAGTGGAATGTGAGGATAATGAGGTATATTGCTTACATGTACAATAGCCCTGAAAGATTCCAAGATCTCAGACGATCTCTCCTCATCGTCTTGGCACTTTTGCAGCTGTACTTGCGTTCAAGAATGAAGCGAAATTTGAAAGAGATTCATGGAATGTACAATGAATGGGATTGGACTCTCATGTGAAGGAGCAAGGCTTACCACATCCAGGACATTGTAAGGAACCGCTTGCAGCGTGGCGTTGTGCAGTGCCAAGTCCATTTTTTCCTTTTCTGTGACGCCCATATACACTGCACACATACAAGTATCTTTGCCCACAACTGTCTCCTTGTTGATTTCCTTCTTGGCGGTAACGATGTGTTGGCCGGCCACAACTTCGTAGATATACTCATTCCTCTACGGAAAAGAAATACAAATATTAAATTTCCCTAACTTTCATGTACCGTCGGTTCCGCTTAATAGAATACTTCACGTGATTAAATGCCATTTCGGCTCTTGATTTACGTTACGATGCAATCGAATGGTTTTAGTTGTTATAACATTCTATCCTAGACAGGTTCCGAGACCTTCCTGATAGAAAATTAATGCATTGAACAAGTAAAAATTAAGAAATGGTCACTGGCAGAAGATTTAACTATGCCACTTCTAGGGTTAAGAACGCATCCGTTGGCAAAAGTAGGAAAGGATCATCATTCCATCATGCAAAGATACAATGTAAGGTGTGGGACTCACTTTCTTCGGATCAAATCCTCGGAACTCGCCTGTCATACCTCGTGCAATAACGATTGGCAACTGACTCCCCATGTCCTCCCCTTCTTCTATGATTATTTTTTTCAGTTCGTCCTTGACTTTTGCTGAGTAGCACCTTGCTGCACCATGGCTCATTTCGATATTTCTCAAGGGGATATCATGGGCTCCTATTTTGGCAAGTCAATGGATAACATGTTTTCTGAGAAACCCAAGTGGACTTTCTTCTACGGAATGGATTCTTACCAAAATGGCATTGTCCATGTCGACCCGAACGAATAAAATCGTATTTGTGCTCCTTTTTCCTCTTAGCAGAGTTTCTTTCGACTGGATCTGAATACCTTTTCTTCTCCTTGGGCTATACGTTTGCAAAGCCAAACGATAACGATAAATTTCATATAGCTTCTCCCAAGACGATTTAACAAGTGAAAGTGACACGTAGCAGCAATTCCTGACTCATTCCAGTGGGTTTTATTTTTATTTTACACCCATTTGCAACGTTTTGAAGAAAATATCGTTCGTTCCAACAGGTGCGCACGGTAATGGAGCGATAGTCAAAGTGGTACTATATGTCCTTACAGGAGCGGGATTCTTGAGTTTCGAAGCTGATCTTGGCGGAGAATCCGGTGGCAGATTGGCCTGACCAGTAATATTTGATGATTCGCTCTCAGATGGTTCTGTTCCCGGGCAGAGATGAGAGCTGGAAACATAACTGAAAACATGTATACACACCTTGGACCCAAAAAAAAATTGTCATTTATGGTGAGTCTTCAATTTCTTTGTAGGGTGCAGATTTTATTTAGAATTGGTAAACTTATAGGGTGACACAATTGCAGCTTGTATACGAAAGGTCAGCTTTTGGCTCTAAAATGATGAGAGCTGTAACTATTTTCTGATAACTAACGACAATATGTGCTGTCGAAAATATCGATGCGAACTTTAGGATGGGGAGAAAGGGAGGTCCGAATTCATCAACTTCCATCCTTGCATGATGCCACAAAGAAGGTTGGGAGGCATTGCCACAATGGTTTCTTTGACCGAGCCATTGATCAGTGGTTTCCCAGACTAGTGGCTAGTGTTCAACAGAATGGATGGCATATTCAGCACCTGTTCAGTTGAAATGAACGTCCCTAAACCAAATTGTGTCCTTTCGGGTTTGGCATTTGTGCATTTGTTTTTGTTCTGTTTGTTAGCTTTGTTGTTTTAGTCAGTTGTGAAAGATTTTAGGCTGAAAAGAAAATGAATACTGACTTTATTGGTCACGAAATGTAAATTAAGTGTCAATCTCAGTTTTTGGAATTTTAATTTGAAATTGAGCACACACACCCTAATTGAGTCACCCTATGTGTCTACAAAATTTAATCAAAATTGCCAACCTAGAATCAGATCGACAACGTACAAAATATGACAACTTTGCTTTTTTTTGGCTGATTGTGTGAGTGAGTGACTGGCGCTAATTCTAACCATGTTCTCGATGAGATAGAAATCTGAAACTTGGCACACATGTACCTTCGGGGATGCAGAGTTCAGAAAAATCCGACTTTGGAGGTACATGCCCTGGGGGCACCCATTTTGGGGGAGAGGTTTTCAATGCTACATATTTGCCGCAGTCAAACGGAGAGCAATAGAAAGATGAAACTTGGCATGGACGCGCCTACCGACACACTGAGTATTAATTTTCATATGCATACCTTGGGGGCATATTTTTGTGGGGGGCAATGACGTTTTCAAGAATTTTTTTGTCCTACCGAATTGAGTGGAGATAGGAAAGTGAAACTTCATACATAAGTACCCATTGAGAACCTGAATTCATAAAAATTCAGACTTTGGAGGTGAATGTCCCTGGGAAACAAAGTTCAGGGGGAGGTGTTTTTCGATAATTTTTTTTTGCTTCAGTCAACCGGATAAACATGGAAAGCTTACACATTTGCATGAATATGAATACGGAGCTAACGTGTTCAGGAAAAATGTCAAGTTTTCGATACATTCCCAGGGGGGATATTTTCTTGGGCTTTTAAAAATTGTTTTTGTCCTAGCGAATTGGGCAGAAATAGAAAGGTGAAACTTGGCTCATAAATAATAGTGGTGAATTTGATTTCAGAAAAAAAAATTTTTTTTGCATATCATCAGGGCAAAGCTTTTGGCTGGGTCGGCTTTTTCTAATATATTTTTGCGCCTGCGAAAAGAAGAACCAGATTCAGTTGAAACTAGGTAGTCATGTAGTTTTCAAAATACTAATTTCCGTAAAAAAAATGACAATTTGTAAGTAGAACCCCAGAGGGCAATCTTAATTTGCAAAAGGCGAATTTTCCCCTATCTTTTTTGAACCAATGAAAGAAAGAACTGAAGTGAGATAATACTTGGAGCCGAAGCACCTTTTTGAATCACTGCAAATCCGACTTTTCAAATATGTCCCCTCATGGCAGATTATGAAGCGAATGGTACATGCCTGCCTATATATATATATAGGCAGCAGAAAGTATACAGAAAATATGCCCCCCGCACGGAAACGTATGAAATGGACAAAATCCATGAACATTGACGTCATGCGGGTTTACTATCAAGCACGATCCGATGCGCCAGGAGCCTACCGGAAGAAAATGCTCGAGCTCTGGAATCAATCTTACTCAGAGCTGAATATCAACGAGCAACGAATTGCGAATCAAAGACTATATATCGAGCGGAACAACATGCTCTCAGAACTGGAGCGGGAAAACATCAAACAGGATGTCCTGAACACCCTCCAGCCAGACAAACGAGAGTGTAATGTACCTGCAAACGAGGAGGCAACACCTGAAGAGGCTCCACTTCAGGTTCCACCGAGGGCTCTCGAGGCTCCTTCAGAGCTAGAAGCGCCATCCGAAGAACTCAGAATCGCCTTCCTCGACCATCTGGAAGATCTGCGGTACCTACAGATGTCCGACCGACCCCGACTACGACCACTAAAGCTCAACCTTGCCATCTCCAAAGACATCGAGGAGATCAACCAGATCATCAGCTCCTGC